TACTAGTTTTATTTTGTTGTATTTATCCGCGACACCTTAAAGGCCGGTCCGTGAAAATATTGTCGGGCATAAACCGGTCCGTGGCGCAAAAAATGTTGGGGACCGCTGAATTACATCATCCGCAAAATGTAGAGATGAAATCCTGAGGCCACAAAGGTGGAGGCCTTCCCACTGCATGGCTATGCCTAGAAATTCTGTCCACACTGTTAAAAGGATTGGCGACAGTAATTCAGAACAACACTTCACAGCAGCTGTACAGGGACTAAAGGGCTCATAACAGTGGGACAGATTATGTCTTTCAGTAGGCCTGGGAATCTCTATGTGTTTCCTTGGATAAGCTGAAGGAGGTTGGATGTGAGGAAGAAGATGGATGATGGACTGATGGATAGATGTTCCCTGCCTCATTTAAGAATTTTAAGAATATTTTTTCATGTAATATTTCTGGATTATGTATGATATACAGCGTATAGACATGCAAAAAACATTATCCAAACCTGAGTTTGTATACAGACATTCATTGGGGCAAGTGGAAGGCAGCATAATGTCTCACTGTTATCAAAAATATGTTCCTGCCAAAAGCCAAATATGATTTTCAGATGCAGGGTCAGATGGAACTTCACAGTTAAGAGTAGCCTTCTAATTAGAAGGTAAGCACATATATTTATAGCTTAAAACCACACTTCTGTCAGTACCTTTTGTTGAAATAGTCAGAGCAGCTGCTGAGATGGCAGTGCTGCCTTGCCTATCAAACCAGCTGGTCATGTAGCAGATGGACTGAAAATAAGAGACATCCGTCCACCTAAGGAGATCCCATGGGGTTTGTCTGGACAGATTAGCCCAGGCTCACACAGCTCACCCATCATTACTTTGTCTGGCCAAACACAGACCTTACCACCCACCCACTGAGACACAAGTGAACCCATCTGCACCACCTGAAAACAAATGACAACAACCAGTGATCGCGTGATGTCATGAGTGTCTGCTGCTTATAATGTGTCAGGAGTTTGGATGGCCTAGGACAGGGGTCGGCAACCTGCGGGTGGTTTGGGAAAATAAATTGGAAATATTTAGCTGAAGTGTATTTTATTTGTGTTTAATTATTTTTTTTAACTTGTAGTTCTAAATTGGAAGATTATTGTGATATTGAAATATAAAAATAAAATTATATTCTATTATTTTTCATCGCTCAAAATAAGCGTCACACTCCCGGAAGCCGGTGTACCCGCCGAAACGCTGTGCATTTATCGAGACTTTCAACCCCAGGTAGGCCAGTTATGGATCTTCGGATCCACATTATGTCAGCAGCTCCACCGTGAATGATGTTAAAAACAAACACCGGTCACGCCTCACAGACGACAGCTTACAGTCCTGCGTAAAGTCACTTCGTACAGCCCCGATTTGCAGACGCTGTGCGCAGAGGTTCAGGAGCAGAAGTCCCATTGTAAACATACCACGGCAGACCCGACGATGTTTCCATGAACACGCTTTTGAGCATCTCTTTATTGACCACTTTTCACACACGGTTGCTGTACGCATACACCCGGCTGTAGCTTTTCAGCTCACAGCCGAGTCCGACACATATCAACACAACAGCAGAGACTTTAAGGCAGCGAGGCGTGATTGCCGGTCCCGCTCAGGTGCGTCCGACTCCCCTGCAGCGGCACTGCAGACCACGCCCCGCCACACACATTAACCAGGTAAAATACATATTTAGGCAGAATTTTGCAAATGTCTATTTTTTTTTTAGCAGCATAGTGCTTTTTTCCTGCAAGTGATGAGCCCAGAGCCTTGACACCAAACACTATTTGTATTTTGCCGCTAAAAGAAATCACATCAACATTAGTAGTCTAACTTATTTTCACTATATTTTTTTAATTCTAAAAATATTGTACATACAGTAAGTGCATGCACTGGATATGGCTTAAAGGTGCATTAATTTATATTATGTGAAAGGGTAGTAGCAAACCAAATAACATTCAAATCAGCAGAACTCACTTTCTCATCGCGTCTTTAATCCTTGTTGATTGTCGTAAAGAAGAACAAATCCAGCTCAAATGCTCGGGTTTCTTAATAGTTGCAACTGAACGATTTAGAAAAAACTTGTTACCTGTACATAAAACATAAACATAACATCATCTTCTAAAAGTATCACTAGTTGAATTTAGGAATTTATGGCTGTGTTTCTGTCCAATTATAAGTCCTAATATTTACTCAGTTTGAAGCTCCATGATGGTCTCCACCAACCTCAGAGAACTATGTATGGTGTTTCAGCTGCTAAATGCTCCTGTTTGTTTATCAACCAACACCACTGTTTGCACCCTTTGATACTCAGCAGCTGGTGTTGAATCAGGCTACTGAACATTTTTCGGCTACCTGTTTGATAAAC